ACCTGCACAGAATCAGAGCTGGAGAAGCGCTAGAAGTACAGACCGTGTCCAAAATGCCTCGGCTGAGCACAACCATCACTTTCTTGAATTCGGACTTGGAAGGTTGTCAGCATCCCCATGATGACCCATTGGTCGTAAAGGCCATTGTGGCAAACCAAATTGTTCATTGAGTTCTAATTGACAATGGGAGCTTGGCCGACATCATTTTCGCCTCTGCCTTTGAGAAAATGGGCGTAGGAAGGGAGAAGCTTGAGCCAGTGAATGCTCACTTGAACGGGTTCTCAGGGGAGAGGGTGCTACCCCTGGGATCCGTCCAACTCATGCTCACTATGGGGGACCTTCCTTGTATAGCCACCACCACTGTGAAATTCCTGATAGTTGACGCACCTTCTGTATACAATATACTACTTGGGAGACCATCCCTCAACTCAATGAAGGCTATCCCCTCAGCATATCACCTAGTCGTAAACTTTTCTACAGAAAATAGAGTTGGAATTGTCCGAGGAGACCAATGAATAGCCAGGGAGTGCTACATGGCCTCGGTGAAGTAGAAAGAGGTTAAAACTATCCAGTTGGATGAGTTAGACATGAGGGACGAGCTGGACACCAGGCCCATACCGTCAGAACAGCTAGAGCTAGTCCAGATCGATGAGGAGCCTTAACATATTCTTTACGTGGGATCTAAGTTGAGCAAAGAAATGAACGACCTACTCACCCAGTTCCTAAGGAAGAATAGGGGGTGTTTGCTTGGAAGCAAGAGGACATGGAAGGCATTGACCCCTCAATCATCACACACAAGCTAAGTGTGAATCCCATTTGCAAACCTATTAAACAAAAGCAGAGAAGTTTCGCTCTGGAACGCCAGAAGGCAATTAACGAGGAGGTCAGTAAACTCCTCCACGCTAAAGCCATCAGAGAGGTGGACTACCCTACCTGGTTGTCAAATGTGGTGCTGGTCAAGAAGACCAATGGAAAATGACGGCTCTGGATTGATTTCACTAATCTCAATCGAGCATTCCCTAAGGACAGCTTTCCCTTACCTCGAATCAACTTGATCGTGGATGCAACTGCTGGGCATGAGCTCCTAAGCTTCATGAATGCTTTCTTAGGTTATAATCAGATAAGGATGGACCCAGTGGACCAGGAGAAGACTTCATTTGTGACTGAACAGGGAACTTACTGCTACCAGGTCATGCCTTTTGGATTGAAGAATGCTGGAGCCACCTATTAACGCTAGCCATCCTGAGGCCCACTTGGTGGTGACATCATCCTTTAAATCTACTATTATGTCATCCCTCACCTTGACAGCTGTCTTCTGCACCTCGAACTCACCGCATGGGCCGTCGTTCGCCTCAGCTAGTATAACATACTCCTTCTTAAGGTTCTCGAGGGAGCCCCGAGCATCAAAGGCTTCCTGGCTAGATTTGTTCCAGGCATTGGTTTTTAAGTAGTAGCTCTTTCCTCGTCATCCTCAGCTCATCCTTGACCTTCTTCTCTCTTTCCTCAGCCCTATCCTTAGCAGCTTGAAGGCCTTCGTAGTCAGAGGCTTACTTCTCCATTTGCTCCTTGAGCTTCTGCACCTGAGCTCTGAGGCTCTCACTGTCAAAGGTCAGCTCATCGACCTTAAATTTGTAGGTCTTTAAAACTTTGGTAGAATCCTCCAAAGATCGGATCCTGCCCATCAAGTTCTTCAATTGGAGAGCCATTTGTAAAAAAAAAGAAAAAAAAAAAGAAAAAGGAAGCAGACATAGATCAGCACAATTCTACCGCGCCGAGCTAAGAGCCAATGTGAAGTACTTACAATGGCTGCTCCCTGGAGAGCGGAGCAGAAAGAGGCCTCAGGAGGCATCGTAGAGGCCTTTTGAATATCGGATTCAGGGAGAATGGATGAAATGACCCCAGCAGCCAACTCAGCATTGTCAAAGAAGGAATCTACATCAGTCCCCTGGCTCTTCCTCCTTTCGACTTTGGGACCCCGAAGAGGCAACTAGGATGGTTGCTCAGGTGGTCTGGGGGATGCAAAAACTAGCTTGATTCCAGTAATCAGCCCCAATGTTCCCTCAACCTCAGAAGGGGTAGGGGAAGCTAGCCTTGGCTCGGAAGTCTCTCGGGGGGGAAACTGGGCCCCTTGAAAAGGAGAAGGGGCCAGGGATTGAGATGAGGGAGTCTATCCTCCCTTGCTCAGGGCAGAGGAAGAGGGCACTCCCAGCTTCTGCACTTTAACTCTGTCAGCAGGGCTGCCTCCAAAGCTGGTATCGGCCTTCTATTTGCCATTTTTCCTACTCTTCTTTAGTAGGTCAACTTTATCCTGGAGTTCCTCTAGAGTAGATTTCATTATGGAGGAGCCTAGGAGATCTGGACCAAACAAGTTAGACAAGAGAAAGGAAAAAGAGGGAAAGACAAGTGAACCAACTTAGAAAGTGTTACATTCTATGTTTTCAGGCCTAACGACTAAGATAGGGAGCGGATCTTCAATCGATACCTTAGGAGGATTGAGTCCCTGTGTTATTAAGACCTAGGACTTGATGAGCTCGGAGTATTTCTTTGGATTGCACTTCTCCAACTTTTGCTTTACCCTCACGTCCTCAATACTAAGCTCTGGTCGAATGCCTAAAAAGCAACACAAGGAGAGTAAAGGTCAAAAAAGTGACTCAATGATTCCCAAATCAGAGTTCAATCAGTTCGAGCAAGAGCTCACCTAAGTTATCAGGGGTGGACCAAGTTCTAGGGATACCTAGAGTATCAATCCTGTCAGAAGAGTTGTACTCCCAGTTGGTGCCCCCAAGAAAAAAAAATTATTTCTTCCAACCCTTATGGGAGCTCGGGAGATGCGTAATGATTTGCCTAGCCATGGTTCACTTGGAGATATATAAGAAACCCTCTGATGAGGTGAGTTTGACATTAAAGAGATTCATAAGCAAGGAAAGGCTGGAAACCCCGAGTCCATGAATCTGGAAGAAAACCAGATGACCCATAAGTACACCCCAGAAATTAGGGGAGAGCTGAGCAGGGCAGACATTAAAGTGTTGTAAAACACTCTTGACGAAGGGATGCATAGGGAAGCGAAGACCATTCTTAAAAGTTGTCACTAAGAAATATACCCTCTTGTGAACTTGGGCAACGTATGGTGTGTATTTATCTGGACACCAGGGCTGGACACTCGTAACGAGCACTGAGAATTCTCACATGAGAAGAGTTAACCTCACTGAGTCTTATGAGCTTAGCGTGCCTAAAGGTGGCCCCTATGCCCGCTGTGCTGTCAAAGACTCCTATTCCACTCACCTTGCCCTTACCTTTGATAGGATTAGGGGGTACTAAAGAAGATGATGGGGATGGTTCCTCAGTATTTTCCTTGGCATCGACAGCATCCATACCTGGGAAGTTGTCAATTTCTTCGCCTACATCCCCTAAATCAGTGTCTTATTCGGCAGACCTTTTTCCCCAGAGAAAGGCAGAGGAACGTGTAACTCTAGAAGGAGTAGACATGACTGGACAGAAGAAGGGTAAACTGAAAGAACGGTAGAAAGGGGGAATACCGATTAAGCACTCCCTAATAACCTTAGGGTCAGCACAATAGCTTCCAATAGCGAGGATTCGCACGATAGAGGACCAGTCCACGAAGTGGGGGAAAAGAGACAGACAGTAATTTCGATTCCAAAAGTAAAAGAACCAAAAGGCCCATAAATGCAATGGCCACCTCATTTGAGGGATCCAGAACGAGGAAAGATGAAAAAGGGATAGAAGGGCGTACCTAGGGGGAAAGAGCAACAAACAGTAGCCTAGAGCGAAATGGAAGAAATAGGACAATGCAAATCCTCAAATCAAACCCACAGAACTCGATCGTGAACGAGAAATCAGAGAATTCCAAACCAGAAAGCAAAGAAATATCAAGAAGAGAGAAGGATCAGTGAAGTTGAACAGCAAAATAGGGCGATTCAGTTAGCCGTTTAAGCATTTAAAGCCTAAAAGACGTGGACTGAAATGTGTGCGAGAAACGAGGAAGCCATGATTGCTGAAAGTCGCCAAAAAGGCCAAGCTCACGTGCAGGCCAAGGTCAACCACGTGCAGATCCTACTCGGTTTACAAAACAGCTCAACCCCTGCCCAAGCCCGCTTGAACCAGGGTCTGGGGGGCAACTGATGATACCTCAAACAAGCCCTAGCTGTGAGGTCAGGTCAGAAGGTCAGGTCAGGAGGTCAAAAAAGACATGAGGAACTCAGAGAACCAAGGGTGGAGTTCTCCTTGGGAAGATCGTAGCTGAACCAACCAGGAAATAGTTGGGTGACTGCGGGAATTGGGTCTCATGCATGAACCTCTCAACCAACCAAAATACTCTCCTAAAATCAAGGAGGATCCCATGAATAATAGACAAAAATCTCGGCCGAAATCCCATGGAATAGGGGGTAACCTTATAAATATTATGCAACGCCTCATCGGAGAAAAAAGGAGAAAAAACCCTAGTCAGTTTATCACTATCTTGTATTACATTCAATTAATCAATAAAGAAGAAAAGGAGCGAGGACCTCTATTGAAGAGTGGACTAGCCGAGCTCCTGAGCCGGTGAACCACTATATTTTCACCGTGTATACCCCTTAATCCCCTTAATATTTTATCGCAGCATCATACACAAGCCTTGTAGCTCCGATCCATGCTCATCTTATGTTACTTGCACCTTTAGCTCATCCACTTTGATTTACGCCATCATCGTTAAACGACTACAACCAAAGCATCACTTCTCATTCACAAAGTAGTTGTTGCTGGACTTTGAACTAGGACAATAATTCTTGTAAAATTTTGAAAATTCTCAAAGTTGAAATGTCTCGAAACACCAGCTGAAATACAATAGGGAACATGGCCTAAGTTTTGTGGGTTGTAGAAAGTGAGCATTCTATGTTCAGAACAGAGAAAAAATCAAAAAATTGCAACTGGGAATCCTTAAAATGTATTTCATAACATAGACTTGCAGGTATATATCAAGCTGCCAAGACCTACCTGTCGAACTAGAGATCATAGGTTCGAAACCAAGCTGTATATGTTATAGAGCTCGTGAACCTTCTAAAGAGTGCTACTAACTGATAGTGAACCTCCTTTTTCTCATCTGATCCCCCTTCAAAATCCACTAAGCAATTTATGGCCATCCTTTCCAAAACTGGTGTATTCTTAAGCAAAATGCGCAGTACACTCAATTCCTCATCTATTCCCTCGAACATAACAATTGTGATGCTCTTAAGGCGGGACAAGAAACATGAAGGCAGCGAATTTAGAATCTGATCGTCATTCTCAGGATGTGCAGCACAGGTGATACTCTACATCATCAATTCAATGTCTCATCCATAACATTAACATTTATAAGGGCAAACAAATCATTAACCAAATTGTTGTACTTACATCAAAGATGGCAGATTCAAGAGAAGGACAGTTCCGGAGTATGTGATGCAGTCCTCTACAATTCAATTCGAGTGACCCAGGAACCACTTCAAGTTTGGTCAAATTATGGAACACAGGAAGATGGACAAATAGTTCTTCTGCCCATTTTAGAACCTTATAAAAGGAGAGAACTCAATATATCAAGAAAAGGGAGGTACAAATAAACCTTTTGCAGAACAAAACATAGAAAGCAACCATGAATCAACAACATATTATAAAAAGAGGCCAACATATCTAAGCACACCTTTTGACAAACTTAATGAGAGCAACAAACATACCTCAATTGCTTGGCCTGTAAGTGATAGGCATTTTATATTAGAGAACTCTCTGAGAAGCTTGTTTATTCGATAAACAACTTCTCTTTCTCTATGTATCAAGTCGATACAAATTACACTTGCTTCAACTAGTATTGAACAACTGCATAAGCAATATTCATCCACGAGTTGGCCATTGTAACTGAAGTACTTGATACTTGGACCAAAAATCATGACCTGGCAACTAGTTAGATTATCCCAATCATCCGTATCAAGACAACTGATATGTAAGCTCTGAAGCCTGGGAGCAGAAATACTCACAACCCCGAGATTCATCCAGTTGTAATCTGTCAACTGCAATATTTCAAGGGATGGGCAGCCAGAAAAGAGCTGTTGGGTTCCATAGTCATATGAAAAGGTAACGCTACTAAGCATCAATGTCTTGAGATTTGAAAAACAAATGGAAGGAGGTATTCGGAGAACCCCGTTCATGCTTAAATACAAATGTGTCAGTGAATGACAAGTGAAGAAACAATGAGGCAACACATGTGAGTCTCCCACACCATCAAGACATATACTGAGGTTTTGCACTTAACGCCTTATTGTGGCTGTTATCCATGAATTAATGCGCAGTGCATCAGAAAGCACATTACATGAGAGGGAGAACTTTCTAATATTGGATGAGTCACGAAGAACTAGCACTCTTTCCACAAAATCCATGAACAGATTCCTATTATTATCACCTTCCTTGAAGTCAAGATTAGAAATAGACGTCCACAGGTACTGCCATCTATTTGATAAGATGCTTGTTTACATAACATCTTTGGTCGAAAGGAAACACAGTAATGATGGGACATTTTCAGACACTCCCAGATGATGACACGTGTACTCGGCATCAATAAACACACTTGCTCTAACACTGACACATCTTTGTCGATTTTCAAACCCCTTGCCCCGAGGATGCTATTTACAGGGATCAAGGATCCCCAAACCACCATGGACTGACACGTATTCCTCGACAGTTTGGGTACATCGATCCTAAATCATGCTAGTCCCTCGGCACCGAGGGGTATGTGTCCGCGTTGGCGTTTCTACACCTGCAGGGGGCTATTGATGGACAGATCACTAGCCTAGGCAAGGCTAGACTAGCCATCATGACCTTGTCTTAATCAAATGGTGTCAGGAGGCACAAGAAAGCAGAAGACTCAACCAAAGGGGAATGGGCATGCGGTGTATTGTGTTAGATCAGAAACTAAAAGACCAGAATGCCCTTGCTGACACACGACTTGGGAAAGCAAATATTTAATGCACCCTTCCATTGATGAGACAACATTTAATGCATGAGAGCTCATAAGTGAAAGGTATTAAATGTCTCAAAGCCTAGCCATTTAATACACCCCCATCGAGAGAAGATAATTAAACGTTCGACAGACCGAGGAGAAAGCATTGGTTGCTCGGGGTCCCAAGCAGTAAAGAATAAGATCATTACTTATAAAAATTGGTGTGCACGCTGCCCACCCCCAATGATTACCTACTAGCTACGCTGTCAGTAATGATGAATTTTTAAGGTATAAATAGTCCTCACAAACACAGAAAAGGGGTACGCAATAAACCCTCTCTCAACCATCATAGTGTTTTCTTCTTCTTCTCTCTCAAAGAACTGACTCGATTGTCGGAGGGGATAGACCAAAAAATACTCTGGCGCCCTTCTAACTTGTTTTTCTTTGTTCCAGGATCCTCCTTTAGCCTTTCAGGATCACTCAGGCGACTCATACAGATGATTGATTTACCACCTTTGACCCTCATAGCCTGTTCAAGTAGCAAGATCGATCGCCCGACTGACGGACACATATTCACCATGGGAGAGATCTGTTCTAGTGTTTATATTGTGCAGGACCTTGCACTCATAATCTAGCGCCATATGTGAGAAACGACTAGTTTTCCTAGTTTCTTCTCTAGAAAAAATAGTGACCATGATGAATACTCGACAGAAAGGGAAAGGTCCTTAGCAAAGAAGTCTCGAATTACAAGCTCCTCGTCATGTTGGGGGGAAGGATCACGCTGATGACAACATGAATGTTTCTATTCATTCAAGGGGGCATACTCCTCAAACCAGTATGGGCATTAGATTAGGAGGATCTGCCCCCTTGGCTCGTTAACTAGCGGAGGTGATTGAAGAAAAGTTTGGGGATCGACTACGACAGTTAGAACAAGATAATGTGAACGTCTTAAGCTGGCTCAACGAATTTGCCGCCTCCGGCGAAGGATTGGAGGGACTCATTCTATTCCCGCGGATGCCCCGTCCGGGATGCAGAAATCGAGGACCTGAGGAATCATTTGAACAACAAAGCTGAGAGCTCCAGGGTCCTGAAGCACCCGAGAGCCAATGATCACCCCCTCGACGTTCATTCCAGGAAGGTAAGACCTTTGTCCTGGGATGACCTCCGGTGAGGACTGTCAAGGCGGGGGAAGGGAGATGAGTCTGAGGAGGATTCAACCCTTTTCCCATGATGCCCAGAGAAGGGGAGCCCTGTCAACGACCCTGGAAATTTCAGAAGACATCCTTTCGAGGTGGAGACTGATCTTAGAGCTCGGCTAAAATCTAGGAGAAGGGGCAAGGCTGTCCAGAATTACACTGAGGACAAGGCGATGCAATCCCCTTTTACAAGGGATATCCGAGATATGGAGGTACCAAGGAAGTTTGTCGTGCTAAGGTTTAAAACTTATGATGGGCGATCCGATCTTGAAGCTCACCTCAGGCAATACAAGCAAATGATGTCCTTATATCATTCGGACCAACGACTCCTCTGCCGTGTTTTCTCCATGAGTTTGAGAGATTTTGCGATGATATGGTTCAAGACTCTTCCTCCCAACAGCATTGGGTCATGGAAGGATTTGGCGAGGCAATTTCTAGCCTGATTCATTACGGGGAGCAAGCGGCCCAAAGATATTGAGTCATTACTGACGCTCAAGCGGGGGGAACAAGAAACCCTTCGCCAGTATGCCACCCGGTACTGGAAGGAGGTCAATGAGGTAGAAGGGTGTTCGGAGGTCATAGCATCCGCATCCTTTAGGCTTGGCCTGGCAAGGGACACAGACCTGTACCGATCCCTGACTAAGAAGACTCCCTCAGATATGGGCGAATTGATGGCCCGAATAAACAAATACTCCAGGATTGAAGACGAAATGGGGGGCGGCAATGGCAGAACTCTCCCACCTAGGAGAAAAGAGAGAGAAGCGAGGGACACCTCCCGAAAGGGGCTAGTACCCCTTCTTGGGGGGTCATTTCAAGGTGTTCACACTGTCTTCAAAGAACCCATCTATAAGTTACTCCATAAAATGAAGCATGAGCCATTCTTCAAGTGGTCACCTAGGATGCAGAGTGATCCTTCCACCCGTGATAAAAAGGTCAAATGTTCCTATCATCGGGATTTCGGCCATCGCACCGAAAATTACAGGGTATACAAGTCTTTCTTGGAAGGGCTGGTCCAAGATGATCATTTAAAAGAATACATCAAACCCAAGACAGAAGACAGACGCGGTCCTACCCCGGCCGTGGAGCAAGACAATGTCATAAACGTGATCCATGTATGTCCACTGGATCGCCCGACATCCAAGGAGCTGGAGTCCGACCTCAAGAGGGTAGCCTTTATGAGAAAGGTTGCCCAGAGCGATGGGAGCCCGTCCAACAAGAGGGCCAAGATCGGCGAGCCTTGTATGACGTTCTCCAACGCAGACTTGAAGGGCGTGGTGACCCCCCATAGCGATGCTCTAATCATAACCCTAAAGATAGGCAAGTTTGACGTCAAGAGGGTATTGATGGACTCTGAGAGTTCCTTGAAAGTGATGTACTCGGAGACTTTAAAGCGAATGAGATTTAGCCTCAAGGATCTCACTAAGGTCAGGACACCCCTCGTCGGATTTAACGGCTCACTTGCCTTGCGCATAGGCAAAATCACATTGCCTGTTGTCACGGGTCCCTTCACCATCAATATTGAGTTTGTCGTGATTGATACAGACTCTCCCTACAACGTGATCATGGGGCGAACTTGGTTGCATGCGCTGGGGCGGTGCACTCCACTTATCACTAGAAAATTGAAATTTGCTATACCAGAAGGGATAATGGAGATTCGAGGGGACCAAGCGTCCACAAAAAACTATTTTTACTCGACTGTTAGAGCGGGGGTTTTCACCCAAGAGAAGGGACGCGCCCCTGGAAGAGATCCTGGAAAAATAGCAATCACTGTCTGGGCGTCTAGGAGTGGATGACCCCCGGATTGATCCAACGGACTGGTCGGTAGAAGACCTCCGAAAGGTATTCTTAGTGGATGGTGAGGAAAAAAGATACTTCCTGATTGAAACCGCAATGCCTACAGCCGAATAGGAAGAGATGATCGACTTTGTGAGGCAAAATGCAAATGTGTTCACTTGGAACGCAATGGAAATGAAGGGGGTGGACCCCGAAATAATCACGCATAAGCTACATGTTGAAGCCACGACGCATGGTGCCGCACCACGCCCGTGCGGTGAACGAGGAAATTGATAAACTCCTTGAGGCCGATACCATCCAGGAGGTGTAGTTCTCGGAGTGGTTATCTAACACAGTCTGTGCAAAGAAAAAAGGGGGGAAATGACACGTCTGCGTAGACTTCACTAATCTAAACAAAGCGTGTCCCAAGGACGAATACCCTCTCCCAAAGGTGGACCAGTTGGTGGATGCCACTGTCGGGTACCAGCGTATGGACTTCTTGGATACCAGAGCAGGATATCATCAAATCCATTTCTATCCCCCAGATCAAGAAAGGATAGCGTTTATTACTCCGAGGGGGGGGGTTTACTGCTACAAAGTCATGTCATTTGGGTTGAAGAACGCCGGAGCTACCTACCAGAAGCTGATGAATCGAATATTCAAAAGACAGATCGGCAACGCTATGGAAGTCTACATCGATGATATGTTGGTAAAAATTAGGAGAAGTTGTGACCACCTGGTGGATTTGGCCGGTACCTTCTCCACCCTTAGGGAGTATGGGCTGAAGCTAAATGTCGCAAAGTGTATTTTCATAGTCGAGTCAGGTAAATTTCTTGGATATCTGGTAAGTCGGCGAGGAGTTGAAGCTAATCCGGATTAGATTCAAGCGATCTTGGACGTCTGGAGCCCCCGAACGGTCCGAGAAGTCCAGAAGCTCACTGGGATGTTGGCGGCACTCAACCGTTTTATCTCGCACTCTTCGGACAAGTACAAACCCTTCTTTGGGGCCATCAAGGGAGCCGGGAAGGATACGTGGAGCCAGAAGTGTGAAGACGCCCTGGCAGGAATCAAGGAATACCTTAGGGTC